ATTCAAAAATATTTTTAATAAGGTTGCCACCTATTTTGAATTGCGTATTTATTTAATTCTTTGTTTAAAAAAAGAGGTAAAATATTACTATTCATGGGTACCAAGAGAAGGTTCTTAAAAATGCTATTCCTATACACAAAATGTTATGTCTTAGGATAAGGGTGTAAGGTTGCCACTTATTTTGGATTATACACAATTTATCTAAAACATCGCACTATGGATATCAAATGAAAGGCGTTGTTGAGAACTTTGGTCAGAAAATATTTTTCATCAGGGTTGCCACGCTTCCTTGTAATACAAATTTTTATTTTGTTAATCTCAATCAACATTTTTTTATGTATGTATACGTACATAGTACACATACGCTCAAGATATGTACCATTCATTCCAGCGTAATCGGAATGGGGTTGCCACCTAAATTTTAGAGTGAGGAATTTACTTAAAAGATATGGAAATCCATTTTTTTTTTGTTTTTTTTCCAAAATATTATTTCGTAGAAATGGTAAAAAGTCATGAAAATCAATAGTTTTCGATCGGTAAACTTTGTTTCTCTTGAGGAACCTTTCAATAATAACCAATTGTTTATTTAAAAATTTTTTTAATATTAAATATTTTTATAGGTCCCTTAAAAACACAAAAAAATGCGAAGGGGGAATAATAAAAAATTGCTAGTATTAAAAAATGGCTAAATAAAAAATTTGCCATTGTTATTGCAAGTCACCTGAAGGAAAAAACTTTTCCTATTCAAATATACTGATTTTCACGAAATTCTATATCATTTCTACGAAACTTTTTTTCCATATAGAATACATAGAAAACGTTGAGCGCTTTGAGCGACATCTAAAAATTTTTTTGATTTCGGACTAAAAAAGGGGAATTTTTTCGATATAGAACAATCGCAGGGTGTGAGAGCATTAAAATTCCGACTTAGCATTTCCCCTCCACAAGCACTTTTGGATCACCTTAATGTACACAGGTATTTACATTTTCGGAAACATTCTGATTCTAAAAATTAAAAAAATATTATATATGTATGTAAGTATGCAAATTTTTTACCAATTGTTATTACGCGACTTCAATGCTTTCACTTATACTTAATTTTATATTTATAGCTAAATATGTACATACATATATTTACATATACATATATAAACGTCTGTATGTGCGCGGATCTCAAGGTGAACCCTTTTGCGATCGACTAACTGTAACCGTAACATTGAATAGCAGTTTACGAGCCTCCTTAAAATACAAACTTATCGCTTACCACGGTTTTAAATTCATTTTGACATTTTTAAATTAGTTGATTTTTAACTGGAAATCGATTTTATCAAATAAGCAAACAAATAAGAAATTGCCAAATTCAACAATGCCTTCAACTGTAAATTTTATGATGTCGAAGAGTTTCGCAAAAGATTAAAGAAACATTGAAACCAATAAATGCAAACAAATGTGAATGCATTTCTCTCTGTCTGTATGTTTGTATGTATGTATGTAAGTACATAAGTGCCGTGAAAAGGGTCGCTTAGGACATGCTGCTGCCATCCCGAATTCGTATGAACGCTGCCAAAACCGGTTAACGGAAATAATCTTATTTAATTTGAATTTTGTTGAATTCGGGGGAGGAAATGCACTGCATCTACTTAAAACTACAAGAATTCGCAATATGCATGGATCGTAAACCAAATTTGTACATTTGTTTTTATGTTTACACATGTGCGCGACTGCTGGCTAACTGCAATGTGAATGGTTAGATATATTTGTAGTGTGTGAGTATATAAAGAAGTGGTAAGAAGTTCGATTGCTGAGTGGAGTATAAAGACTGCAACACAGAAGTAGCCAAAGAACTTTCAGCAGCCAACAGTTATCGAGAGCGCATGCGTCGTGTAAAGGTGGCGGTCGAATATTCGAACGAGAAAGAAAGTAAAGTGTACTTTGTTTTCGCTGCAAAAATGTTTCTAAATTTGATTATCCTGACTACGTTGCTGAGTGCGGGTGTTCACGCCGCCACAACGGCCCACATAGCGGCGCACTCGGAGTTGCCAAATGTACAGCACATCATTTACTTGCCAACCAACGGAAATCAGGTGACCACTTGGCCTAATTCGGGTCACAGCGTTAGCCCACTTTATCAGCAGCAAATCGGTGGAGTTGTGGACTCACATAAGTATCAACAAGCAATACAAGGCCACACAGGTGTGGTAAATGCAGTGAATTTACAACAACAACAACCTCACTCATCACCAGCTGCAATGTCGCTCAATCCTCTGCATACCGGTAATAAGGAACATTTTCCTGGCAACTTTATACTCTATGAGGATCAAGTCACTATTCTACCCCAATTGGATTCACGCGACTCGCATGAAGAATATGAAGTTTGGCCTCCCGTGGGAATATATCCTCCGCCATCACCACCACCACTAGCGATAAAACCCACATCTTATCCAGCATATTACCCTCTTCCATATCCAGTGACAAAGCCAACACTTCGGCCAAGTACGACGCGCCCAACAACGTTGCGTCCAACTGCGACACGCCCAACAACTACTCGCCCCACAACAGCTCGCCCACGACCACCTCAATATCCTCCATTTTATCCCAAACCTCCATATAATCCACAATACCCCTTGGAAGGGTTGCCGCTCTATCCTCACTATCCTTTACCTCCACTTTTGACTACACAGCGCCCTACCACGACGACGACGACGACGCCTACGACACCCAGGCCTAGTGGCGCAGATGTCCAAGTGCTGGAGAATTATCAAATCATCTCCGATAGAGGGATCACGAAATATAAGTAAGTGTTGGGTTTTTATTTGACTTTAGTCCTCGAAACTGTAATCACATCTTTCCTGCTGATAAAGGCTACGTCTCAGTAACGGGCTGACTGATTACAAAAAGGTAACGAAAAAGCATATTGGCCAGAGAACTATTTATGTGCAATCTGGTTACTACTCAGTGCCGGTGGATCCGCAGAGAAACAAATACAATTTGATTCACTACATTGCCGATGAGAGAGGTTACCGGATCATAGGAGGTACATATGCTTTTGTTAATCTGCTTTGATCATTTATATTTTATAAATTTCCATATTTCATTCAATTTTCAGTGCAAGCGTGCTCTAATGAAAATCCATGCAGGGTTCTAAAGGAATAAACATGAAAGAGTGCAGTATTAAACGAAATCGAACTTGTTTTTATGTATTATAAAAATATATTTGAATTCATTAAAGTATGTCTTCGTAAAATAAAAACTAGTTACGTCTACACATTGATTATAGTTTTTTATTTCTATAAAGTGCTCCAATGCCTTTTAAGCCTAGCTTGACAAGCAGACTTCTTATAAATTTCGAATTTGTTTCTGACCTTATAAGCCAACATACTAAGGCTAAAATGGAGCGCCAATTGTGATGATTCCAGAACCACAACTCCTTTGTTAACCAGCTCTTAAAACTTCCAACTTACACAAGCGGAATAAATGGTAAGGGTTGTGGGTCCTGTGGGATTAGATTACCTTACCAAGGTCCGCAATCTGTCTATGGCAGCTCGCATCATTCCGCACATCTGGAAAATGGGGAGAGTGGTCCCACTACTTAAACCAGGGAAACTGGCTAACAAGGGGAGTCTTAATCGACCGATAACCCTCCTTTTCCCGGTATCGAAGAGTATTGAGGTCTACCTATTCCCGCGCCAAACCTGACCCCAGCGCAAGGCAAAACATCAGCACTTAACGCCTTAAACACTCAGATAACTCGAGGCCTAAATCGAAACTGCCCCTATAAACAGTCCTAATAGCGATTGATCTGTCATAGGCATTTGACTCCGTCAGTCACTTCACTCTACTAGACAGAAGCTGGGTATTCACGTCGATGGCAAACCAATTCAGACGGTGAATAACCAGAAACCGTTGGAGCTACCTTCCCGGCGCATACAACCGCAAATGTCAATAGAGCCGCAACAAGGTCCACAAGTCGCTAGCCGGCAACACCTGGAGAAAAGACAAATACATGTTTTTGGTAACATACAAGGAAATTGGGCGGCCGGTTCTAAACTATGCAGCGCCCGAGTGGTCGTCGGGGACTAGCAGAACGTAGTGGAAAAAGTTACAGACATGCCAGAACACAGCACTCCAGACCGCGACTGGATGCCTTTTGATGTCACCAGAATACCACCTACACGACGACGCCCAAATGCTCCCCGTCAAGGAGCACAACACCATGCTAAGTAAGCAGTTCCGAGTAGAGTATCACAGACTCGGGAACCCGAAATTGCAGCAGGTCTCTAGCCAAGGCACGTCAGGAGATATCTATACGAAGTGACGGACGAAGTCCAGATGTTCATAAAACAACCTCTGGACCCGACATATGTGCCCAACGAGAGCCCGACATGCGGAGAGTTACCACATGACTCACGGCACCTCTTAATATGCCCTCTAAAACCCAACCAAGGTAACGCCCTTGTCCCTATGGAAGTTGTGCACTTCTTGGGTCTCCTCTTAGCTGAGCTAGTTTATTTTCCGACAGGGTAACCGAATTATGTATTTTTGTACGAATTTCCGTCATCTTCTGATAAGTTTGGTTTAGAGAAAAAAAAAATGGTTTTACAGTCTTCAGTGTAATTTTTCGCTTCGGTGTTGATAACCATTGCATTCAAAGCTACCATAACCTTCGAACGCTGAACATACACGGGTCTCTTGCGCCGCCAGCAAGCAATGCCCAGCTAATACCCCCCAAGTCCTTCCCCGCCTGGTCTTTCCATCGCAGAGAAGGGGTTGCTCTTCCTCTGCTACCATCATCGCGACCCGCGTTCAACCCCTCCGAGTTGGAGCGTTTCTGTCCAACGGTATAACATGACCAACCCGTCCCGAAATTTTATCACTTGCATGTAAATAGCCTATTTTAGAGCTGTCAAAAGACCTAAACATTTCTTTTACTTGAGAAGGTTTGTAATCAACTATGGTTTCTAAGTACTTTTATTTTGCAAATTTAATCTCATTTCGTCTATTTCAAGTAAATACTGTTTTCTTTTCACATTAACATTTGAATTAAAGATACTGATTCTACAAGTGGAAGTCACTCATCTAGGCATGCCCTTTGTTCGGCCTTTCTGTGGCATAATCGACACTTTCCTTAAATTGTGGCACTTCAATCGAACGCGGCAAGTTCGGGTAGACTTGTGGGGTAATTGCTGAAATTATAATGAAATAAATAGAAAGTTAGCGTGTGTTTTTATCCAAAAGACATTCTTTGTTATACTGGTATGTAAATATACATATACATATATGTTTACTGGTAAAACTACATTTTCAATAATTTCCGATAGAATTACTTATTTTAAATAACAAAATATCGAAGGCTATAGAAATGGAAATTTTTTGCTAATCTATTCATTTACAAATCGATTTAATAACTTTCAGATATTCCAGAGAATGGCAGAAAGTGAATTGATGGACTCTGATCTGTCTGATTATTTCCTATATTTGCATGGTGGATGGGTTGGATAGAGAGAGGATTTTTAGTATAGGGATATATAGGTGGGATGGCAACTCATTGCTCCTCTGCAAACTTATCAGATTTCTTTATGAATCTTAGCAGTTTGTCGAGGGAAGAGAATGTTGGTCGTCCATTCGCAATACTTCCGTCCCAAAAATGTACCATCTAAGTCTGACGAAGGCCGGACAGCGATACACTAAACTTCCAAACAAAATGTACACAGTAGATTGTCGATGATGTCTATGATGACCATATGAGATCCCCATGGATAATGTACCGTTCTCAGTACTAAGTTTTGGAGCTCGTAGATCTTACCTTTTACTTTTGAGAAGGAATTTTGCTACCATTCTGTCAGGCCTTTCCAGGAAACACTTGGTTGTTTTGCAGGCGTCAATAATACACCAAGGGCGCTCATAAGTTTATTTAATGAAATTCTTGAAGTATCCGACTGTTTGCTCTTTGCTATGGTACGGATAAAACAAGGACAATTGTAACCGCAAGGTCAAGGCATTTTTTTTAGGCTTACAAAGCCGTTGTGAAGGATGAAGAAGTGAAACTATTTCAAAAATTTCACTAAAGGCTACGATCTAAATGCCTCGAAACTCCGCTTGTGGTTCTAGCGCGGTCGGCGGTATCTCTGTTAACAAACAGAGAAATTGCATTCAAATTAGGTTTTTAAAGCAAATCTGAGTTCGCAATGAAGAGCACCTCACCGGGAGGAGTACTTTCACTGCTTGTATGGCTTGTGGTCTTGAACAGACTTCCAGGTAATCTAAATTATCAGGGAATCAAGCAGGTGGCTTGTGGCGACGATCTAGCCATGTTGATATCAGGCCAACTTCTTTCGTGAGCTGTGGCTCTGCTCTTAATACAGTGTCGGACAGATTAAAAGGATCACGCATTTTAACAAGTTGTGGCTATTTTTATTTTTGTTTATTTAATGTCCTTTTTATAAAAGTATAGCTCACAATCTAACAAAAACCATGTAGCTCCAAATTTCAAACTTTGTACAAAAATTGGACAAATCCGACAAAGTTTCATCAAAATTTCCATCAGAATTTTTAGAAAAAATTTACATACGAAAAAATTGTCGAAAATGGTGATACCGTCAGCAAAAAAATCATTATAAATCCACCAGATTTCTTATCAATTTCATGCTTCCACTTTATTATATTAAAATTTAGAGGCCTATAAAAACGCAAGCCAATTTTTTTGCATCTAAAAATTGTCGAATTTTCCTAATATTTGTACAAAGTTTGAAATTTAGAGTAATGCACATGGGTTTTGTTAGATGGCAAGCTACAATTTTATAAAAAAAATAATAGACATTAAATAGGTAAAAGAAAAATAGCCAAAAATTGTTAAAGTGTCGCAACCCTATTAATTTGTCCGACAATAATCCTTTTAGCTATCCAAAAAACTTGCACAAGCTTGTACAAATTGTTACCAAATCGCGTTCGTTTGGACAGAAAACTTGTAAAACTTGCAAGGAGAGAGCGCAATTTTTAACATTTCATTTGGAGGGGAAGTTGAAAATTCGTGCTAGGAAAATTTTTGCCAGCAGGAATTTGGGAGCAGTCTTGTGGCACACGGCTGCATTTACTAATTGAGATTTACTAATGAAAGAAGTGTGTAAATATTTGTTTAGCTAATTAATTTAATTAATTACAGTGATTTGTAATGTTCATATGTACTCGGCTGAAAAAGGTGTATTCGTAATCGGAACGCAGTCGACGCCACTGACTAGGTACTTCAAAGAAATTCAAGCGTATGCTGAAGAAAGTCAGAATAAGAAGAAATTTACGTATAGGTCCTGTTTTGTCTTTCTCTTGAAAAAATTTCAAAAATTTACTATGTTCGAAATACAACCGTGTATGCCAGCTGGCCGTGAATTTTGCAATCCTCAGCGCGCTCAACTTTGTAAGTTTCTCTCTTTGCGAGAGTAAGATACCTTATTCTCTGAATTTTGTTGCTTGCTAATTCTTACTGGCTTTTCCAAACGAACACAACTAATGTATGTCCAAGGCGGTGAATTAGCGTGTCTCGTTCAAAAACAGAACTAACAAAATTTACTACTCGAATGCCAACCACACAGATTGAAAATACCACGGAAAATACCTATAAAATTACAGCTGTCCGCATACCTGTCATAAGCTAGCTTGAATTAAATACTTTCTCGTATGTTGCTTTGCGTCTAATCGCCGACTGTTTTGCACACAAAATGAAATGAAAATGATTTGAAATTCACATTTGCTACTTCATATTGAATTGAATAAATTAAAATTCTAATTTAAATAAATATTCACTATACTCACATTGATTTTGTCTGTAACCATTTTGATCGGCATTGTAGAAGACAGTGATGTAACGTCCATCGGTCTGACGGTAGGAGTAATAGCCAACCACAACCAGCGTTTTAACTTTGTCATAGACAAGAAAGTAGCCACGTTCATAGCGTGCAGTACCATCAGCCAATTCGTATCTGAACTCGTAGCTGCCGTCCGGGAAGCGATGGTCGAAACGATCCAAAACATTCTTTTCTGTTACTGGCTCCGGTTGGGGTCGCTGTTGTTGTTGTTGTTGCTGCTGCTGCTGCTGTTGTAAAGTGCCACTACCAATATGATTATTATGCAAATATTGATTTTGGTTATTTGTAAAATATGCCGAAGCAGATGCATCGCTTTGCTGTGAGCTGGCGGCGTATTGATTGTTTGGACGCGGTGAATTGCTATTAACAGCCGCTTGCGTGCAAGTCAAAGCCAAGCAACAGAAAGTGATAAATGCAAATATTGTGCGACACATTTTTTTTTTTTTGTTGCGTACGCTTGACAAATTAATCCTTTTCAGAGAAAAAAGCCACAAAAGCTTTTCACACCTTTTAGCGGTAAGTTGCAATTCGTGCGTGTGTGTGTGTGTGTGTGTGATTGTGTTTATTGGTGCGCGCGGTGGGAGTATGTGCGTCTGTTTTGTTACTCAGCAGCAGTTTAATGTAAATACTGGCTGTGCGCACGCTTTTATAGTACTTAGCTGCTGACAGGCAGGCGTACATACATACATACATACATGTATGTAGATATGTAGATATATACCAGTATAAATGTACACATCTGCGCGCATCTAAATAAAGTTGTCAAAAATTTGAGACGCTTCATCAGCGAGCGCGCGCGCGCGCGTAAGCAGCCCAGCGAGTAGGCCGACCGATCTGCTGGTCCTGCTGACTTTTTGGCGGCGCGCGTAATCACAACCGGCATCTGGTGAGAATGCTTTGAAAGCGCTCTTACATGTATGTACATAAAAAACGTAGAAACATAAATGCGCACGCACAATCTGCCCCACCTGCTGCTGCTGCTGCCGTTGTCGGCGCTGCCTTGATTGCTATTTGCCACACAGCGTGTTCTAAGGTTAATTTACGTTTTTGATTCTAATTTGCAACGGCACTCAAAAATTTGTACGCGCGCGCGCGCGCACTTTTCGCTTGCGAAGGTACAGAAATAAATGTAGCGCAAAAATAGCGCTTTCGTTCGTTAAGTCGCAGGCGCAGCCACCACCTCAATGAAGATCACATTGAAGATTGCGCTGATAAGTGATTTGAATTTTTTTCTCGCATATATACACACACACGCGCGAATATGTATGAATAATTGTACACACAAAATTTTGTGTACATTTTTACCTGTACGTTGACTAATTCCCGCCTTTTTGTCATTCGCTCAAAAATTTCATCTTTACTTGTTGAGCCTTATCTGATCTCGACTGTGTCTTTTACGCGGTCGCAACGCGAAAATGTGCTCTATACAACATAAATATTGCGGGGAGAACGTGCTCCAGGCCTTAAATGTTTTTTTTTTGTGTTACTTTAACTCGCGTTGCTTTTAATGGAACGCTTGAGAGAACGCGAAAAGAATTGGTGTGTCTGAACAATCCAGTGTTTCATACAATTCTACGGTACATTATGTATTACTTGCCACCAAAAAGTATGTCACACAAAAATTAAAATTTGCTGCCATCAAAATTGTTGTCTTTACACTTGTCATTTTAACGGTTTCAAATATTTTCTCATCTTATTCATTTTAAGATTATAATCGCTTTTATACTTTTAAGTAACTTTGCAAAAAAAAAAACAAACACAAATAAGTAAATGGAATCAGGTTATTAGCGAATGTTTGTTTTTTCCTGTTTTTTAGGTGTGTGCTCGTTTTTATTTTTATGATTTAGTTATATTACATTCAAATAAAATTGAGTTTGTTGACCCTCTTTATATTAATGGGTTGCTGCATATTTAGACCAGTTTGTACGAGATATTAATTGATGCGTTTTTTTTTTTTAAATATATTCTATAAATATAAAATATGATATCGGAGTACCTCAATGAATATTAAAAAAAAAAATATCAAAAACCGTCGGGCGATTTTTTCTATGATAACACTGTACGGCAAAATCAACTTTTTTTCTGGGTATTGGGCCAAACCAATTTTTTTTAAGAGATTGAGTCATAGCTAAAAGAGTAATTTCTACGTTTTTCGAAATTGGCCTCCGAAAACGAGATATGGGCCTTCGAAGTTATTAATTAATTAATTAAGTTAATTATTATTATTATAGACGTAGTCCTCCTTCTGCTCTTATTTAAATGGTATATAACTTTTTTTGTGCAAGCTTTTATTACAGGTGCTATAAGGGGTCAAAGTTCAGGTCTTAGAAAAAAATTAAATTCCTTATTTTTCAAACACTTTTGACTGATTTTTAAAAAATGTATATCGTTGAAAAGGCGATTAAACCTCCTTTATTTCGATATGCATATTTGTATATTTCGTATATAAAAATATTAGAAAAAACATATTTAAGTGAAAAACACCTTTTTTTATAAAAAAAATATTTTAAACAAAAAAATTACTACCCGGTTCTTAAAAAATCGGGATTGTTGTAAAGACGATTAAACCCCTTTCTTCTGAAATGCATATATGTATACTTCGTATATAAAAAAAACGCATTTAAATAAAAACAACCTTTTTTTATAAAAAAAAATATTTTAAACAAAAAAATACTAACCGATTTCGAAGGCGATAAAACCCCTTTCTTCTGAAATGCATATTTGTATACTTCGTATAAAAAAAACTTGAGAAAAACCACTTAAAAAGAAAAAATACCAATTTTTCCAGATTTTAGATAGGTTTCTTAAATCCCATCCTTCATATTCCATTACACTAGGCGTGTTTTTTTATCCGCATACGTATCTGCGCTTAAAAATTGTATGGAGGTGTAAGCGCCAAACTTTATGTGTGCTTATGAATGGTTGTCGATAAAATCAAAATTACTTGTTTTGAAATGGAAATTGTCGATGATTGTTTTTTTTTTACACATTAAGCGTAGATGTATATGCGTGTAAAAAAACACAGCTATTGTTGAATTAAGTCAGCATACGTAGCTACATATGTACATACGTTTTGTAGGAACCTCAAAAAAAGTTGTGTGATATTTCTACTACGAGTTATTAATACATAATACCAGGTTGACCGAGTTTTGCTCGGCGTGCATATACTTCTTAAAGTTTTCACGGTTTCAGTATCAAATGCTGGTCATTTGGATAGATTTATAAATAATATTTTGGAATAAATTAAAAAAAATGGAGCACTTGATGACCTAAATATAAAATAAGTTAAAGTCATACTTCAAAAAAAGTGGTGGCAACCCTATATAGGAAATACGCTAGAATGAACCTTAGAAAGCAAAAAGTTATCTGTATACAAAATTTCATCAAAATCGTTAGAACCGTTTCCGAGAAACCTATGGATATACTTATATATGTATATATATATCAAAATTGCTCGTTTAATGTAATAAGATGTACATATGTACATACTTTCGAAACTGTATGGCACTTATGAATACAAGAAACCAGCCTTTAATCCTCTCGTAAACGGATTTAATACTCGTAAAAAGCCTTTTCATGAACGGGAGGTCTAATACAAGAAATTTGTTTCTTATTTTTCAAGTTTCATGTTGCCTGGCATTACATCCAGAAACACAATAACGTTTGTAATATGTAAATAACTCTTTTACTGCATTTTAAATATACTTGCCATAATTTTACGAGTGCTCCCAATTCCCTAAAAAGTGAAATTTAACTGCTATTTACAATAAACCAAAAACCAAAAAAAAAACATTCTAATTATAACCAAACAAGCATTGAATCGAAAAGGCATTTCTTTATTTCCATTATTAAAAGCATTTGAAATTTTGTCGTATCGTAAACCGTAACCAAATCTGTTTTATGACTCCATCATTTTAAATGGCTATAATCGAGCATTTTAAAAGTTATAGTGCCAAGATTGAACTGGTACCGAAGGGGTATTAGCAGGCGCGTGTGCTGCTGCTGGGGAGGAGTGAGCTGAGGAAGCATGGGCTGATGACTGGTGTTGATGAGCGGGATGTGGTTGTGCAGATGGGTGTACACTGGAGTGATGAACGGATGATGAGTGCGCTTCCGATGGCGAGTGAACTGCGGAGGATGAGTGGATTCCTGCTTGCGAGTGCATTCCTGACGAAGAGTCAACATTAGATGAAGGCGAAGAAACTCCCGATTGTTGATGAGGATTTACCACAGATGGAGAGTGAACTGCGGATGATGAATGGATTCCGGCTTGGGAGTGAACACCCGATGAGCTCTGAATATCAGATGGAGAGTGCACTGCGCCAGATGACGATGGGACTCCGTGCATCGATGATGACGTATGAGCGCCGGATGAGGGAACATTCGCGTAGTTATAAACGCCTGATGAGTGCCACGATTGACTTGGAACTGATGGATATACTCCACTTGGATGCCCCACTGTCGTGTGGTGAACTCCAGATGTTGAATGCATTCCTGACGATGTGTGAACACCCGATGCATGGTGATTTAGTGATGATGAGTGCGATCCCGACGGATGTTGGCCGCCAACTGGGGAATCTACTCCCGAAGGATGATGAACGGATGGATGTTGAACATGTGAGTGGTGGCCTTGCGATGGTTTCCCGACGTTTAAGTGATGTGCCGGGCCTTGAGCTGCTGATGATGGGTACAGTTGAATGAATGGATTACCAGTTGGATGTTGGTGAGGTCTTCTTGTTGTGCTCGAGATATAAATATGAGCATTGGAAGGCCGTTGCGTTACTGGCGCAGGCGCTACATGCACATATGATGATGGGACATATTCGGGTACTACGATGTTGCGTGGCAGCGTCGGCTGAGATCGGCTGTACGTAGCTGCAATGCAGACAAGGGGGGAAAAATAATGAGTTACTGTAAACTATGTACATATGTGTGCACAACTTATTTCGAATTCTGGCTTTTAAAAATATGTAAAGTGGAATTTTAATATCAAATTGGCTTATGAAAACTTACCTGAATCCTGACGGAAACCATTTTGATCGGCTGTATAGAAGACGGTTAGGTATTTATCGTTTGTCATTGGGTAAGAGTAGTAACCCTTGCGTGCAAGTACCATATTTTTACCATTAGGAATCCAATAGGCGCGCTCATATCGGGCATCACCATTGCTGAGTACATATCTGTTAAGAAAGTGAATACAATTTCAAAACCATTGACCCACAAGAAACTTGTTTGTGCAACTGTTTGTCGAACACAAGTAGTTTATTTCATGTAGATGTAATTTGGATAATTGAATCGAAATCTGAAATTAAGCGGCCATTGGATAGCGCGTTTTCTTATTATTATCTAAAAAAACCTTCCGTAAATCTCTCAAAGTTGCTAGTTTTTTTTACAAAGTTAGCAAATTTGGTACAAAAAAATATATATATTTTTTTAATTTTTTTTGTTAAAATTTTTTGTATGGGGAATGAGTCTACTCAATTAGCATAAATTTTGTGTCGCGGAATTTGTATAAAAAAACTATGCTTAATTTCACTTTCTAACCTCACATAAACTTTTGTTTCTAGTTTCTCCGTCAAAAAATTAGTGAATTCTTATACATTTTGGATCACCTGAATCTAATTATAGCCTCGAAAAATTTTCCTCAAATGCACCAAGTTTTACCTTCCTACGTATAAATTTCAGATCGTTGAATTTACTTAATTTTTTTTCTGTTTTTTTTTAATTTTTTTTATTTAAATTTCCGCTCATTTTCATTTCCTAAACCCAAAAGTAAAGAATAAAAAAAAACAACTTTGCATTCATGGAACCAAAACCTCTAAAATTTACTTATTTTCTTGGCCGGACAAACGAAGTGAAAAATTTTTAATGCTATGTATGAAACTGACTGATTTATAAGAAACATCTACTACTACTCATTAGCTTCATACATACACATAGTAGAGCTCAACGCTACTGGAGTATCACAAGCATTATTTAAGTACTATTGAATCTCACTAAACTCTTTACAACCGACTTTTATGCTCGTTTGTGTGCTTTTCTTCCTATACATGACCTCACCACCTTAGCTTCATATGCACTCATTCGCACCTCGACATTGTCTTTAATTTAATGTAATCATTAAAGCTTACGAGTATTTTCATTTTACTACCTCACCTGTACTCATAGTGACCATCCAATGAGCGTTGATCATATTGTTCGATGATTCTCGGCTTGGTTACAGCTGCAGGATGGTAAATGCGTGCGTCGTGCTTAACAGAGTCCACCACAGGTGCGACAACATGTTCGTCTATGCCGCCAACTCCTTCCACTCCTACACCCCCGGCCATACCCACATCCATGCCAGCATTAACGCCTTCACTCGCACCCACGCTTGCTAGTACATTGTTGTTGTTAACCACCGGCACATTAGTGGCTTGTTGTGCCACCACCTCATAGCCATGGCCATTGCTCAGCGACAGGCAGGAAACGCACAGGAATATACTCCAGATGACCACAAATTGCGCCATTAAAGTTATTTTATTGATTCGCCTTTCGTTGCACCAGAAACTTTTGCACTTTTAATACCGGATATCGCAGATTGCAAGTTGCGAATTGCGAATTTCGTATATCTACGAGTGCGAGTACGTTTTATTGGTTTAACACAATTAACAACTTTAGCGTTGCAATGGATTTGTCTCAATGCTGCTGTAGGGTTACAGAACTTTGGTTTTTATACCCGAAAAACAAATTTTGGTAGTGATGCTTTCTTCTGCTGGAATGGTCTGAATAAATGCCTACAATTGATGGTGAGATGTCCAAATGATGTGGTCCTCTTTGTCATTTCGTTATTGTTGTACTCGTATCTCCTTTTTTTGTTGAAAAGAAGCAGCTGCAACGACGATATTTTATTGGTGGTAAATGTTGGTAGGCAGGCAGTTAGGAAGAAGGTTGACCAGAATGTATGAGCAATAATACCAGTATGTTTATATGTACATATATGTTTGCGTGAATTCCATGATTTTTTAGGGTCAATCGACTTATACTAAATATGCAGATTTGTTTGCGAATAAGAATATTTTTTTTTGGGTATTTGCAAAAAATGCATTTAGTTCAGTGTGAATACATTCTACTTCCATCTGCATATGTACATACATACATATGTATGTATGCTTGTAGTGGTGTGAGTGGGTTTTTCGAATTTGAATATTTTTTGGTGCACGCAAGCGCATTTGAAAAGTAGGTTATGTCCACTAAAAATATGCAGATTATTTTTTGTGATCGTTGATGTCTGCATACTTCAGTTTGTACTTACCCTGTAGGGAATGGAATTGGACTAAAGTTTTTAAATAAATGATGAATATATATGAAATACATATGTATGTACAATAATGGTTTAAGTGACACATTTTTATCCATACAAATGACAATGCACAAGCATTAAAAGAGGTTTAAAGATGGCAGCTATTATTTCTGGAAGAGTTTTCTGCTTTTGAAGTTCGGAGTAGCATCCACATAAATTTTGGTTGGTATTTTTATTGGCTCCTAAATACACTTTGTCCTTTACTACTTTGAGGTTATAGTTGTCCCCATACACGGATGGTACATTGTCTTGTCCTCGTTTTTTCTTCGCTTTTTCGCTTGACTAACATCTCTTGGATTTCTAGCTATCTCGAGAAGCGCGTGTTTAAAGACCAGCAGCCGCTGGCGCAACGTATGCAATGAGATCCTGTTCGAATCATGTTTTAAACGTTCTGCTTGATTTATTACCGATAGATATTGTTATCGAAAACTTCGCTGCTAACAGCGCCACTAGACTGCGTGCTTCGGGGCTTTGCAATGAGAAATGGTTCGGCCTAGTTCAACCCTAAATGCATTACCGCTTGAAATATTTTCCTGTCGAATGACAGCGTGTCCTACGACCCACTTTAAAACAGCGCTCTGTTAGGACTGAGCAAAAAAGGAAAACACTTAAAAACTTACGACAGTCTGCACAGAACACCGGTCTGTTAAGGTACATGTCGAAGGCATTGGATTACCCCCTATTTCCGAGTGTAGCCGCCACTCTCTGTATGTCGTGTAGAAATTCATTAAAGACGCGAAGGAGCTGTAGCAATAAAATGCAAAACATAGCCTGGGTATCATTTGATGTACATAGAAACCGCATAAGCATTTCTATTTGAATTTCTCTCGAAGATTCCCGGTTCCGCACCGCCGCCGCCCTTAAAATAGAAAATTGGAAGCATTCCTCAAAAAACAATGTGTATCCAATCATTTACTGGCGGAAAATTTATGCCAAAGTTTTTATCGAAATATATGATTGAGCAAAAAAAGTCCAATTTGCGCTAAGTTATTATATAAGAATTATATTCTTATCTAATAATTATATTGCTCAATAACAAAAACCCTAAGCCGTTCTAGGTTAGCTTCTCAGTCATTTCATTCACCAACACAACTAGGTCAGCACAACGCCATAACTGCAGGACTAGGTTAGAGGTAATATTTAGAAATCTAAGAGCTCTAATTGCGGCTGTTAAAAAATTGAATAGACTTTCCAAGTACAATTACAGGCAGTACAGAATTTAAGAACTTCTGATAAATTTATGCCAAAAAAGCGTTTCAAAGGACCGCATGCTGTATAGGTTGGAAAATGTCTGTATATATTTGCTAGAGCTGGGACTAAGCAGATTTGACTATTAGATCACGGAGCCCAATTTTGGGCACATCTTCGAAGTTTCTTAAAAGAAATACTGGGATTCTGATACCGTTTTAAGCAAAGACGAGATTATACTTAGTCTTTACAGAAGAACATCCGAACGGGAAGCTTACATACCTGCGTATTACTGCGATGTACTATGATGTACTATTTAAGACTGTTATAAATGAGAAGTTGAATATTTCTTTGTTTACATAAATAGGTTTGTGAAATTTTTGCAAAAAATAAAAAATAAATTTTACTAATTAAATGTTTACACTACAGAGGTAGATAGACAGCCTTAATACTCCTGAGGGTACTGGAGCAGGCGTATACGGCCAAGACTGAAGCTTTCGGCGCCCCTGGGAATCTTTCCAAGTAACGGAAATCTAAACTATCAGTCTCTCTGCAGATATCAATCATCGCATGAATTATCGAAGTGAGTGGACCTGTATTGTGTGGAGAAGCTTAATGTCCTGGCTGGGAATAATGCTGTCGCATTGTTGTGGGCACCAGGACATATGGGAGTCGCCGGAAAATAAAAAAGCCTTTCAAAAAGAAGCGCTTAACTAAGGGAACTGCACTGGAATAACATCATAACGGTCTTCATCAAGATAAAATTTTCCTAGGAGGATGCAATCTAAAAAGATATAAAATACTTACTCATAAAGATCCTTTAGAAGAAACATAGAATGCCTTCAATGCATTGCAACAGGCCATTATAGGCTAAAAGGCTACTTGCATAAGCTAGGAATCTGGTCAAGCGGCCCACATACTTAGTCACTTTTGTGACTCCGAAAAGGATACAGCATTACACCTCCTTCTGGAGTTTGAGACCGTTTCATGTGGAAGGTTGACGAATTTCTAGAGTTTTTAGGCCTAGCTGAGATGTTGTGATGAACTGAGGACCGAATAGGCCTACTGGTCGCAGTGTATGTAAAATTTTGAATAATCCATTAACCACTCAGCCATATAAAATTCAGAAGAAATAACTTACATATTCCGCCTACTAGAATTTACGATATTCGGAATAAAAAGAGCTAAAATGTTGCCAAAATGGGAGAATTATCGCCGATTTGGCATCCCTGGTATACAGTCAGGCTGTGATCAAGGTCTCACGTTGGCAAATAAATACCAACTCTATACACATAAGTTTAGGAACAACGAAAATTATCCGGGGCTGATTTGGTATACTTATTGGTCGTGATTTTTTACGTGACGGGTCAGAAGTCCAAATAAGCTGGAGTAGCTCGAATGAAGCTTCCACGCTTTCTACCGTGATCCGAGGCTCTGCTCGGGCTGGTAACCGCATTTCGCTCATGGGTTGCTTACAGTGTACTTTGGGGACTTTCGAGAAATCTATTCTCCCTATTTCAAGATCTATGGCTCTAAAGGCGTGGGCGACAGATACCAAAGAAGATTGAATGGCGCACTGAATGAGCCTTTCAACGATATGGAGCGTTTAAGAATGCGTCGGCTTTGAAATGTTGTAAGCATGGGTGCTCCGTTGAAACCATCCTTCGACTCGGGATCCATAGGTGTACAACGAAAGCGAGGACACTCAAGAATGCATTGAAAGAACCAAATGCAGAAGGATCTACATACATATGTAATGCATATATTTTTAATAAGCAGTCTAACGGTTTCTTGGTAGAGTGACGATGTTCATGAGTAGCCCATCTAACTTCACCTAACCTACCCTAATATAAAATCCTGATCGTATTTTCGCTCTACAGGGTGCATTCATACAAATATTCTTACTTACTTGTGTTTACATGTATTTTTATATCGATTCCGCACTTTCTCCACCATCAAATACACTGCAGTGCGGTGAAGTGGCGATGAACTCATCAAATTCAAGAATTTTATATTTTTTTGATTGGAATTGCAAATATCTGCTTCAGTTTCTTCTCGTTCAGAATATTCTATATACAGCAGCGTAGCGGTCACAATAAAGTACTTTTGTTTATACATACATATTTGTATTTAAAAATGTGTTGCCAATATTCGCTTCCTTTCGAGTCTTCTGTGCGCGCAGAGATTATTCTTTGTCTTAAAAAATGGTTTTCGGTTAACGGCTTCGCCACATTTAAGCCATTATTAAATACATTTGAGCGGGATTGTAGACATATTTTTTTATTTTTTTTGGGTCGAAATTCGTCCACACAGTTGTGGATGCGTGTACATACATACATATGTAAGCACATACTTACGGTTATTTGAGCACCTTCACAGGTACATACATACATACATATGTACTACGTATGCACCTACTTAAGTATTACATTTAAGTGGCGCAAGTCAGCAGCTCAGCTGAAAGTCAAACATTTCACGCAGCCATGGGAATGTGTATGGGAATGTATACACATATATATGCACATATGTATGTATTTAAAATGCATGCATGTGCAAAACTTTGGTTGAAGGAGTTGGCCGGTTACCGAATTCGCGGTAATAAATTATTGTAAAAACAACATAGTCATCTTCAAATTGTCCACTCATTTTTGTATGCACCCAGCACTTAGCATGAACGAATTTGTGAAACATTATTTTTTCATTCTTTAAACTTTTTTAGCTTCGTTTGAAATGCTCGTTTTGTTTTCTTTCTTTACCGCACACTTTGCAATATTTGGAGTTGTTGAAATTTATGTTTACCAACACGTATATTTCTACATAAATTTATAATGTTCATAAAAAAGTTTTTCACATTTTTGGCAAGCGTTTGATAGCCTCGCCAGCATCAGATTTTCTGTTTGTTTATGTCATTGGGCGCATTTGCATTCTAAAAACTGATATTTAATGCATTTTCTACACAAAACCAACATAACCACGTACATTTGTATGTATTTAGGTATGACATACATATATATTTTTGATAATTTTTTGTTTGATATCTTTGTGTTCTATAATACTGTAACATTTTGTAATGCAGATTAGGGTGAACTTTTTTTTTACGAAATAAGAGAAACTTCTTTGCCCAATGTGAAATGGTAAA